ATAATAGTTTTTACAAAAAATAACCGTAAAAAATAAACGAACTAAAGAAAAGAAAATAAAACCTAAATAAAACAAAATAAATAAAAATTACAAAAAAAAAAAAAAAAAAATACAAAAAAAATACAAAAAAAACAAAAAAAACAAAAAACAAAAATCATACATTTTATATATTAACAAAAACAAAAAAAACAAAATTTCAATATTAATCTTCTTCTAATAAATCTTCATCTTCTTCCATATTTTTAATATTTATAAATTCTTATCCATTTCTTTTTCCTTTTATATAGAAAATAAGTGATATAAAATTCAATATTGTTCCTATAACAACATAACCGTAAGCCAGAAATTCATTTTTGCCTCCTAAAATACTTGAATTTGTAAAAAGTAAGCTTTTATGGCCTTTATATTATTTTATATTGTATTTATTTTGCACTTTTAGTTCATAATTGCCTTCATCTAAATCATTTTCAATCCTACCCCAAATTTTCTTGAACTTAGGAAGGCCTGAAATCTACATCCAGACTATAAAATGTTCATTTTCAGGATCTATCCAGTACTTATTTTGCTCATTTCCCATTTTAAATTTCGTTCCTATTTCCTCAGGCCATGTAATATCATTCTCTTAAATTTAAACTTCTTTCTTTATTGAATTTTATTCTAGTTTAAACAATTTAAATTCATCATTAAACATACTTTTAGCCAATAAACCGCATGGAAAAGCTATTTAATCTTCATCTAATTTTTAATCTTTTTAAAAAATCTAATAAATATATCCCCCGTCTTTATTCCTTATAATAGGCGAGCATTATTTTTCGGCTTCCTATATAGAAATATTATTTCCTTATAATTACTAAATAGACTTTGATTAAATGATTTTTCGATGATTTTATAATATATTTTCTAATTAATAGAATATAAATATAGGAGCCTTAATTTTTTTGTATATTTTAAAAGGAATAATACATTCAATCTTTTATTAACACTATTATAAATGGTCATAATCTTATAAATACTATTCAATTATTTATGCATTAAAATAATTTATAATAATACCAATAATGATGAAAATAATACCAAAAATAGCAAAAAAATACATTATAAAGTTATTTGAAGATTTAGTTATCCATAATTTTTTGAAAAAACATTGTAAAATTATATTAGAAAATGTATTTTAACTTTACATTCCTCTAAAGTAAAAAATAATAATATTATATATATAAATATATATGTTTTTATATAAATATATTTAAATTAAAAATAGAAAAAAATAATAATATATAAATAATTTTATTGTTATAAAAAAATAAATATATATATATATATATATGTTAATATTTATAAATATATATTAATTTAACAACTCTTTTTAAATTAAAAAAATCAAAAATGAATAATCTTATTTAACACAATTACAACTATATTTAATAAAATACTCATATGTAAAAATAAAAAAAATATATTTTATAAGAAAAAAATAAAGAAATACTTTAAATGAACAATAATCAAATTTAAGATATTAAAGTCCTTAATTAATTCCTTTAAAAAGCGCAAAAAAAAGCAGAATTTTTACTAATAACTAATATTTAAAAGAGCTTTATAAAAAGAAGAAATCAAATACATAAATAACAATATAATAAAATTTATAATAGAAATAAAAATTATTGATTAGAAGTAATTTTACATCCCCTAAAAACTTTTCACCTATTATTATTTAAAAAAAATAAATGAAAAATAATAATATTTAATATGAAAATAATTGAAATAATCAAAATAAGAATTTATATACAAAATTATTAAAAAATTAAATCTAAACTAAAATAGAAAACTCCAAATAAAATTCTTGTATATATAATTTTAGGTAAACAAAAAGAAATTATAAGAAAAAAAAAAACAAAAAAAAATAATAAATAAAATAATAATTTATTATATATATATATATAGATAAAAAAACAAATATTTAAGTTTGATAATAACTTATATATAATTATTAATATATAATATATTTATATAAAAGTATAATTATATTTTTTAAAAAAAGAAAAATTCCACCTAAATTATGTTTAAAAAATATTGAAATTATTAATAAAAATATAAATACTTTATAAGAATTAATTCTATATAGTAATAACTAAAAATTCTTCGCAAATTTACTTGAAGATTATATACTTACAATATCAGACTAATAATGCAAAGATACTCCAGATAAAATAATAAACCTAAAATAAATAAACTAAAAAATAACATGGATATATGATAAAAAAACTATACATTATAAAATTATAGGATTTTAAATAAAAGAAGGTGAAAATATTTTATCTTATATAACAGAATAACCCCAATAATGTTTAAAGTTAAAAGAAAATATAAGAAATATAATATTTTAGTCTAAATTTTAAGACGAATATGATATAATATAATAAATAGGTTAAGGAAATTACGCTAAAGTATATTTAGCAACTAATAAATAGAATTTCTAAAAATTCGCAGTAAAATGTTTTGATAAATAGAAACTTAAATAATCAGAGAACGGAATAGTAATATATATATATATATATATATTATATATATATATATATATATATATATATTTATATATAATTATATTCTTTTTTTATATTTATTTATTTAGAATTCTTTTATGAATGAATTGAAAATAATGCAAAATGTAAATGATCATCCCAATATAGTTAAACTGCATGAAGTTTTCGAAGGAGATTATACATATTATTTAGTAATGGAATTAATTGAAGGTCCTTCTTTATAAGAAGATTTATATAACCGTGAAAATCTATATACTAATCATTAAATTATATAAATTATGAAAATGCTTATTTTAGCTATTTAATATTGTTCTAAAAAAAACATCATGCATAGAGATTTAAAACCTGATAACATTTTATTAATTAAACGTTCGAAAACTTTTTCTTTGAAAATTGTTGATTTTGGATTGGCAGCTTATTCAAATTAAATTCCTTATATATTTCCGAAATGTGGTACACCAGGCTTTGTGGCACCCGAAATTGCTAATTTAAATGATAAAAAAAAAGGATATGGGGTTATATGCGATGTATTTTCTCTCGGAGCTATTTTCTTTATCCTTTTGACAGGTGAAAATCTTTTTTAGGGTAAGAAATTTAACGAAGTTTTGAAAAAAAATAAAATTTGTGAATTAAATTTAGATAATAGAAAAGATTTATAAGAAAACACAAAAGATCTTTTGAAAAAAATGCTTGAAAAAGATCCATAAAAAAGAATAAATATTTTCAATATTTAAGAACATCCTTTTTTCGAAGAAAAAAATACAGAAAAAGAGTTAATTAAAAAAAATAAATAATTTTCTAGTATTTAAAAATTATAAAAAATTGAATTTAAAAATGAAAATTAAAATACATTTACGAAAAATTTTAGTACTTAAAATGACTAACTTTAAAAGAGAAATTGAATATATAAATACAACATATTAAAAAATATATATATATATATTTAAATATATATGATATTTATATTTAAATTATAAATATAATAAATAATAATAATTACAATATATTATATAAATATATATATATTTATATCTATATATATATATATACTTTAAAAACTTTATTTTTTCTATGTTTTTATGATTCATATATACTTTAATTATTATATAATACCATTTTAAATTATTCTTAAATTTTTTAGATAATATTAATTCTTTTTTATTTTTATTTTATTATTATTTCCTATTCCCATAAGAGTTATTTTATATTTAATTGTAGTGTTTTTTATGTTATTTAATGTTTAATTCTTACCTCGAATTAATCTAAGTAACATTAAAAATCATTTTATACCCAATATATAGAAACTTTTTCCTTATATATATGTAATTTATTATTTAGTTTATATTCAAATAATAACTTATTTCGTAATTATATATATATATATATGTATATGAATATTATATATATTTATATATGAATATTTGTTAATTTAAGGTTTTTGTAAATATAAATATATATTTTATTTAATTATTTTTATTTTCAAAAAAAGATTTAATATTTTTAATATACAATTAAAAAAAAGCTAGTTTGTTATATATAATTATTTTTTAGAATTAATAAAGAAAAAAAAAAGAAAGTATATTTAAATTATAAAGTTAATATTTAAATTTTAATGACTATATATATATATATATATATATTAATGCATATAAAAAATTAAAAAAATAGTTAATTTTTTTCCCAATTAATATTATTAGTATATTGAAGTTTTTATTTTCATTCTTTTTTTACAACCTTCTGCAAATTCTCTAACTTTTAATAATATTTTTCTCTATCAGTTCTATTTTTTTGTTATTTTATTTAAATAAAACAATAACAAATAAACATAAAAATTAATTATTTACCTATATAAATTACAAGGCTCATATTAAGCTGGACTATCAATATTCGGTTCATCTTTTAATAATTTTTGAATTCCAATAAGTATTTGTTTTATTGTAATTGCAGATTTCCAATCTTCTTCATCATTTAAAATAGACAAACAAACAGTTCCTTATTTTTAATGATATATATATATAAATATATATAATATTAATTATTTCTACCTGAAGGATATACATTAGGATGAGGCAAAACAGGTTTAAATTAACCTATAAAAAATTAAAAAATATTATTTAAAAACAATAATTTTTACATTTAGGAGGTTTAATAGGATATGATTATGAAAAATCAATATATAAAACATAAACACCATTTTCCCAAGGAGACTTTATTTTTAGATATAAATAAAAAATATTTTTTTTTTGTTTTTTTTTGTTTTTTATGAATTAAAAAATAAATATTATATATATATTTTTTTTTATATTGAAATCATAATATTATTATACTCCTTCTGGTCCAGGGATTTCACAGTACCATTTTAACATATTAATTGATCCGTCTTCCTTTGTAGTCGGTTTTGCTACAAAAAGCTTTTTTTGTTTTATTTTGTTTAATTTATTACATTATATTATTTTATTTCATATTAATGTTTTATATCCAATGTTTATAAAAAAAATATTTAGTTAATTACATGTGGATGGTCTTATCTCCATTATTTTCTTTCTTATTTAAGACGTGTAAAAACTAATTCGTTTACTTCTTTATTTTATTACATTTTTTAAATAAAATGCTTGATTTTTATTTTCTTAAACTAATATATGATTTTTTTTAATAAAAATTGTATAAAATCTTTTTTATTATATTTATGTAAATAAATTATCATTAATTTTATATTTGGATATAATTTTCAATATATTTTATAATTATTAAATAAAAAATAGAAAACAAAGATTAATCATTAAATTTATTTGTTAATTATTTAAATAAATTTTATTTAAAATATTTTTTTTATTAATTATTTTTTTATATAAAAAATGATTACATTTGTATATAATATAGAATTTTATAATTATTTTAAATTAAAATTATTTATTTATTTAAATCATTAATATATTTTTTTTTTTAAATAATTTTTATTAATAATAACCGAGGAAAATAAAAAATTCAAAATTTTGAGCATAAAAACATTTATCTATCTTGTGGCTGTTCAGTATGCTGTGATAGCCCTGTACAATGCTGCTTGATCTCCAAAGAATTTTAATTTATAATATATATATTTAATAAACGAAAAATTTAAATATAAATATACATTAATAAAATTCAATATTTATAGAAATAATTAATATAAATAATAAATAAAATTTAATTTTATATTCATTTAATAAATTTATTTTTATATATTTTAAATAAATAATATTTCTATATATGTATATTTATCCTTTCTTATCTTTTTAATTAATAAATTACGATTTATATAATATTATTTTATATTATGTTTTATTTTTATCATATTTTATAAAATAAATATTAAAATTAAGATAAAATAAAATTTTATATTAATTTATAAAGATTTAAATATATATATATTTTATAAAATTATTATATTAATTTTATATTTTTTATTTTATATTAAAAAAATAAAAAGTATTAATTTATAAATATATAGATATATAATATTTATATTATTTTAATAATTATAATAAGAATTTATAATAATTTCTTTTTTAAATAAAAATAATTAAAAAAATTTATTTGCATAAAAACAAATATATAAATATATATGCCTTTTAAAAATGAAAACAAATCTATTATTTTTAATATATAATTTTATATATTTTTTTTTTATTTTATATATTATATTTAATTTAATACTTTTAATTAAACAAAAAAAATAAACTTAGAGAAGAAAATTAAATTAAAAACTCTATATACATAAATGAATAGTAAATATTAAACAAATATTAATATCAAAAATTCATTTAATTTTTTTATTTTTATTAAAGAAATTTACTTAATCTTATAATATTTTACAATTTTTAAAGATCTCAAAAGATTAACTTTTTAAATCGGTAATCTATTATATTATATTATATTATATTAAAAATAAAATAAAACAATAATAATAATAAAAAAATACTTCATTCTATAAATCTTTATATTTTTAATTTTCATTTTAAATTTATTTTTCTTAATCAATCAAAACAGATGCCCTTTATACAGGAAACCACGAAAGATCATTATTTTTTAGTTTTTCATAAATATAGCTTTCAATACCTGAATATTCAGTTAATTCCTTATCTTTTAAATATGCCAAATAAAAAATATAATTCCATAAATAATGTTCACTCTTAATATGATTAATAAACCCTTCTTCACTATTTCTATCGAACATTTCTCTCGAATATCCACAAATAAAACACAATTCTTATATATCGATTTTCTTTTCTTATTCTTTATCTCTTAATTAACTAAATTTATCAATAATTATACCTGAAAAAATCTATACAAGTATAATTATTATTATAATATTCATAATATTATCAAAAACAAATTATCCATATTCATAATTATCTATTAAAAATATATAAATTTATATGTATTTTTTTTTTTCAAATAAATTAAGAATACTTGGATCTTTTGGTTTTAAACTTTCTAAAAAACCTCCTAAACCTCCATTGTTTTTAAAATTTTTATCGAAACTTTCAAAAAAACACAAATATAATTAATTACATCTTCCCCCATATGAATCATAATATAAAGTAAATCCAATAATCGTAAAAAAGTAAATAAATAGTAAAATTAACATAAAAGTTAAAGCTAAAGAAATATAAGACTCATAGACTGATTTTAAAATATTATTCAGTGTTGGATATCGGACAAGAAATTCAGTTAAATGAAAAGCGAAAAAAAACGGATGAACAAATGTTGCTAATATAGAAAAAATAAAACTACTAATTTAATAAACTACTTCTGCACTTTTAAATAGTTTGAAAATACTTATTATTGTTATTATTATTTATTTTATATTATTTATTTAATATTCTATTATAAAATTATTATATATATAATCAAATAATATACCTTATCCCTCATTTTTATTATAAAATTCTTCACTAGATTATTTAGATTCTCTTATATAAAGAGGCCCTTTTTTAATCAAAAAGGAGGTCAAAACAAAAATAGAGCATAAAATCATAATATAACCACAAAATAAGAACACACTCATAGTTTTTTCTACTGAATAATTATTTATTTAAGGTTTATATAATCTGTTTTAATATTTGTCTAATATATCTAAACCTTAATACTAACTATTAATTTCTGAATAACTATTAATAATTAGTAAATTTAAAATAATAGAAAGTAAAAACTATAAATCCCTCCATAAATCAACGTAATCCGCAAAAAGTTTAATAAAGGAATTCCTTGAAAAAAACAAATATAGTTATTCCTCATATTTACATGTTAAAATAGTCTTTTTATAAAAGTCTAAAAGTCCTTATAATTTTGTTATTGTGGATTCTCTTTTGATTGTATTTTAAAATTTGGTTTTTTACTCTTTTGGTAAATAATGACAATATGGAAGTTTTATAAAGCGAACTTTAACAATTTAATTATTTATCACGACTTCTATTAAAGCAGAATTTTTCTTAAAAAAAATTAAGCTTTCTTTAAAATATTATGTTACTATATCTTATTTTATGGAATTCTATATATATTATTTTTCAGTTTTGTTTATTTTCTTGATTATTATTTTGATATATAGAAGTGTTTTTTTTATTATTTCATGTAAAAATTAAATAATTTTAGTAATAAAATATAAATTAAAATAATGAATTGTCTTTTATATTAATAAATATATTTATATCAAAAATATATTATATTTACTTTAGAATCTTTAAAATATTTATCTAACTCACTTAATTCTTTTTTAGTGTCGTTATCAAGTTCTTAGTCATAACATTTTTATTCTTTTTATGAACTTCATTTTTTTTTTTAAAAAAAAAAATATATATATTTTTTTATATTATATATATATATATTTTCTTTTTTATTTTATATATATATATATATATATATGATTTTTTTACGGCATTTCTAAATAATAACATATAAGAAAATATATATAAAATCCAGTTTCTGTTATTAATTCAAAATAACTATTTTTATTATTTTCTACATCATTATAATCTGGCTCTTAATTAAACTTTTTTTATTAAGTATATTTTAAATATATGAAATTATTTTATACATGATAAAGAGCTTCAATATTATACATATTCCCATATTTTTTTTATATCTCTTAAAAATAGTTGAAATATTTTATTTTAAAGTATTCAAAGGTATACTTCTCATAACTCTTTTAATAACAGTTGGATCTGAATTTAGTTCTAGAAGACTAGTAATTAAAATCATCAATTTATATTTGAGTTTTTCTAATTACCATCTGTATAAAAGAATGTTTGAAGAATTATTTTATTTTTTATTTATTTTAGTTTGTAAAATTTAATATGTAATTTCTAAAAACTTTGAATCTATAATTTTCTATTAATTTAAATTACAAGGACCTTATACAAATTCAATTAAGTATCTAAGCATTTTATTATGCTCTAATAATTAATTCTATTTAATCTAATACTAAATTATTCTAAAAGCTTTTTATAAAAAAAATAAATAAATTATAATTATATAATAATAAAGCAAATAATATATATATATATATATTTATTGTTTAAAATAATTGAAAAAATATATAAATAAATATAAAAAAAATAACATTTATATATATATTTATATATATATATTTATATATAATATATTTTTATAAAATGTATTTTTAAAAATTAATAATATTTCATTTAATTTTTTTAATTTTTAGAAAAAAAATAACAGATTAAATATTATATATTTAGATTTTTAAAATGTACAGAAGATTTCATTATTTCAAATACTATATTAATATATATATATATAAATATTTATTTATATATATATATATATATATTTTTATATATATATTAATATATAAATATAATTTATTATATTTATATTTTTTTATATTCGTATATCTATATTTATATATAAATTATTATATAATTGTATTTACATCAACTGTAATTGTTATTAGATCATATGAATGTCTATTATTTTATTATTATCTTAAATAATTTTATAGATTAGAATTATGACCTTCACAAAATAACTATAAAACTTTTAAAAGTGTCATCACTACTTCTTAATTTAATTAACTTGTATTATTTAGATCTAATGTAGTTTAATTATTTTAATTTTATTAATTTTCATTATTTTGCATTTATTCGCCATCATTGTATACTATAGATATTTAAGAAAAATACTTATTTCTTTATATAATAGTATTATTATTACTATTACTATTATTATTATTATTATTATTATTATTATAGTTATTATTATTCTTTTCATTTCTTTAAATCAAAGATATTTATATATTATTATTTTAATTTAAATATTTTTATTCTTTTTATTTATATTTGATTATTTTTTTATTTTAAAATAAAATATCTAAGCTTCCATTTTAATTTGATTATGCTTAAAAATAATTTTTCATACTTTCATTATTTCCTTATTAAGTACCTGAATTTTTTTTTTCAAAAATTATCTGTTTTTTTACGTTTTATTTTAAGCCTTCTATATATTCTGCTAAAATACAATGAAATTTATTAAAAAGAATTTCACTTTATCCCTATTATATTAAAATCTCATATATAGTTTCTTGTACTTATAAATTCCCACCTTCTAAAAGTTTTATTAGGAATTCTAAAAGACTTGAAAATAAATTATCGTCAAAAGGATTTTATTTTATATCAATAATTAATGATAAAACCATCTTTGTAGCACCTAATTAGTCAAATAAATTTTACATTTAAGTCAAGCTATTTTCGCTTAATTCTAATATTTTATTCATTATTTTTAGTACATATATCATGTTATTCTAATTGGCTTTGTTTATTATGCCATTTGTTATATAAGAAATCATTTTTGAAAGAAAATCCTTAAAATTAACCTTTTTGTCAAATAAATGTTAAATATTCATTATAGCAAGAGACAAAACAGAAAGCTCGTTATCTTTAGCATTTTTAAGAATTTCTGATTTGTTTATTTATTTTAATAAATATTTCCAGTTTTATAAACTTAGAAAACTATCTATTTTATTTTATTTAAATTAATTATTTTATTCTTAAATTTCCTTAAAAGAATATAAAATATATATATATATATATATATATATATATATATATATTTATATTAAAAATTACATCTTTTAAAAAAATATTAAAATCATAATCATGGTAATATTTAATATTAATTTAATTCATTAATTAATTATATCTATTAGTATTAGTGATTTATATGAACTCAAGAATAATTCTAATTTATGTTTTACTTAAAAATTAATTTATTAGTGATAATTTATAAATAATACTATCTTCTAATTCTTTTATAATCTGAAAATCTTATTAATTATTCATATTGATTTATGATAAAATTAGTTTACAGTAATGAATACAAAATAAAACGAAGAAATTAATAAAATAATTTAAATAAAATATCAATGATGTATCAAATCTACGAATTTCTTTGAATCTATTTACTTCGATTTTCATATAAAAATTAATATTTTATAATTCTAAATCTAAGTTTTCTATATGAGACTAATAAAAAAAGATATATAAATATATATATATATATATAAATTTAAAATATAAATATTTATATATTTTATATATATATGTATTTATAAATATCCTTATTAAATATTAACTTTTTTTTTTAATTACATTATTTAAATTTAAATATATAGAAATTATTAATAGAAGAACTTTTGGTTTTATCAAACAATACCCTTATTTTTTATTTAATAAAGTGTATTTAAAATCAAAAACTCATCTTCTTCTAAAAAGCAGTCTTCTTTATTTAAAATATCAATTAAATAATCCAATTTAAACAAGTTTTTTACTTTCTAGCAATTAATATTAAACCCTTCATCTCCTTAAACACAGGCTATAAACGCATCTAAAATAGCTGAATGATAAAGAAAGCACTAATCGTATTATTTTTAATTAAAAACATCTTATTTATCATCTAATTTTTTAACTTAAAAATCAAACTTAAAATGCATTTTCTTATCAAACTAACCAAAAAGGAAATAATTAGCCTATTAAATAATTTCTTTATCATCCTAAATATCAATAATTGGAACTAATAATTTAAAAATTTTAATTTAATTGTCTATAATATAATTTTTTCCATTTATTTATAGTATCTCTAGAATTTAAATAAAACGAAATTGTCTTCCAAAGTCTTTTACTGCATTAAAAATCTACTTTAAAAAAGTCTCCAATAAAGACTCACAAAGGAATTTATTATTTTAAATAATAGACTTTAAAAGCTCAAACTATCCAAAATCGAACGCTATCTCGTCTAAAAAAAAGCCTATATATTTTGATAAAATTAACTAGTTTTCTTAATTATTTATACAGAAAAAAGTCAGAACTTAATATAACATTTCTAATAATTCTAAAATTTAGTATTTTTATTTCTTGTTTTTACTATATTATTTTAAATATTTCACCAATTAATTCTATGAGTCTTTTATTAGATTTATTATAGGGATATGTCCTTATAAAAAAGTAAATATTTTTTATCTTGTTTAGTCTATTTGATCATGCAATTATATCTTATTAAATATTTTTTTCTTTTATTAAATATAATAATGATAAAATTCGCCCTTTATTAATTTGTTCTATTTATCAATATAAGAACCTTTAAAAAAAAGAGAACTTAAATCATCTAATATAGCTATTATATCAAAAATATCTTCATTTTATTCATTATTTATATTTTCATTAAAATTTTCGAAAATTTCTCCAAATTTTAAAAGCCACACTTCTGATTTTTCAGCTAAGCTTTTTATTTACTTTATTCTATTTTAGAAAACCTAACAGAATTTATATGTATTTATAAATATATATATATATATATATATATATATATATATATATATTAATATATATTAATATATATATATATGTTACCCTAAATGGTATTATATCACATTAATCAAATAAAACTTAACAATTATTTAATTTTTCAAATAAATTAATAGCCTGACTATAAGAATTCCTTATTAATTCTAATATTTTATCTTTTAAAATACTATCATTTTCTAAAAAAAAGCTTATTAATAAACTAGGTAAAAATTCACAGATTAACTTTAAAAAGATATATATATATATGAATATATGAATATTTAAATATATAAATATATACTTTACTATTTTCGAATTTTCCTGAAAAAAGTTAATCAAGATCACTAAAAAATAGTTATCCGTTTGTATAATCTATAAAGTTTAATTTTTTTTATTTTAGTTTTTAAAAAATAAACACTTCCATTTTTTAAAAAGTACATTATTATAATTATCTAATGTTGGTTTATATAATTCATCTATAAATAATATTCCTGTTTTTTATATATTAGGTATTACAGTTTAGAGTTATTTTTATAAAGAATCCTTTATATATTTTTTATTTTCTCCTTTTTTTTATTTATTTTTTGATAAAAATTCAAACCAGGATATAAAATTTGCTATTAAATAATCCATTCTCATATCTAGAAAAAATAGGAATAATTCACAAATCTCTACTTTAGATTTTATGTAAATTTTTTCTTATTTTTTATTTGTTTTCTCATCCAAATCTTTACCTCTTATCATTTATAAAATCTATATTAAACCTCCTATTATATATCCTTTATTTTAAATAGAATCATTTTTAATCTTTTCTTCCTCTTCTTCAATGCTTTTTTTTTTAAGTTGACCTTTTATAAGTATTTTGAGTGTTTTTACTGTTACATCTTGTGTTTTTTATATCATAAATACCAGCTTTTGAGTCAAACTCTAAATACCATTCACATTTTATTATTTAATTAACGTTTAGAACCTTATTTCTCTCTGTTTATTTAAGTATTCTATTAAACCGATATTTTTTGGATCGTATTATAGTAATTAAGCTAATGAACAGAAAATTTTAGGAAAGAGTTTTTTCTTATCTAGTATTTCCAAAATATTAAACTATACTAAAATTTTTAAAGTTTTAATTATATTTAAAGTTAAAATATTAGAAAGTACATTTTTTCCTTTAACCTCCTAACCTTATTATTTTTAAATTTATTTAATAGTCTATTATTAAGATGCATTAGATTAATTATAGGCCTAAATTACTTAATTATCTATATATTAAATTGAATATTAGATTAATTTATCGAAATAATTAAAGTCTTATAGAAATATTTTATTACTATTATTTATTTAATTATCTTCTAATTATTAATATTTATATACTCTACACATTTGAGGTAATATTAACATATTTAAAGGATCATTATCTAAAAAAAGATTAAGCATTAAATTACAAAAAGCAGATCTTAATTCCGGGTTTAGGTTTTCATTGAAAATCTATTTAAGTATATATTCTATAGTGAATATTTTTTATAGTTTTTCCTTCCATAAATAATTCCTTTATAAACATAAATCAGAATATAATTTTATTTATTCGACAAAATATAATAAAATCTGATTTTATTATATATTACTTTATATTCCTATAGAAATCTCATCTATTATAATTTTCTGGTTTTTAATAAATATCTATAATTCCATACTATGGTTATTTATTTTTAAAGGAATAAATATTTGCTTTTCTAAGTTTTTTATATTCTCAATATATTTAAATATAATCTCTTAATTTACAGATATTCCTTCTCCTTTATATTTACATATCTTCCTAAAAAATTTCAATAAATTAATATTTCTATTCTAAGGTTCTAATTAAAGACTTATTTTTAAAAAAAATGTCAATATATTATCTAAATCTAATGTATTTTAGTAATAATTTTATATTTCATCTTATCTATTTTTTTATAAAAAAATAAAATAAAAATTAATATATTTGCTTGTTATTATACGTTCTTTATTATTTTTAAGCAATATATATATCATCAGTTATATTATTTACAATAAACTCGTTTTCACATACAATTTAAATAATACATTTAATACATTCTTTCATATACTTAGCATGCATTTTAATACTATTTAATTAATTATTATATACATATTTTTAATTTTCTGAATTTTTTAAACAAATAGCACTTAAAAGCTTATATATAAGTTTCGTAATGATATATTTTTCCTTTAGAAATTAAATATAGACTAAGTTTATTTAGTTTCTATTTAAAACCGTAATATCAAAAATAGACTCTTTTTAACGATTCTCGTTTTAATTATATATATAATAATATTTTTGTTTAAAAATTATTTAATTTTCTAATTTTCTTAAATCAATTTTTATGCCTTTTTGTTTTCTTAAACATTATTTTATTTTCTAAGAAAATTTCTTCTTTTTTTCAGTTTTAAATATTTATTCCAGTTCAATTAATTCTTCTTCATTTAGTAAATTTTTTAATAAACTACATATTATATCTATATAGTTTTGCTCAAAAAGTAACTTTTGTCTACTAGAATTAGGCTTACCAAATATATCATTGTCATTTATTTAAGTATTTATTATTTTTCCTAAACAGAATTTCTTAATATTTCTTATACATACTTACAAAAATTTCAATTATTTACTTATTATTTCGTTTTTTTCTATAAAATTCACGATTTTTCCTCTATCTGAACCCAAAAGACTAATTTGTTCAAGTTTGACGATTGATTGAACTAGTATAGGCAATGAACTTACTAAAAAATTAGCTTCTAAAACTTCATTTAGAGATGCCTTAAAAATTTTAAAAGCATTTTCATCCTAAGGATTTTATTTATGTATTTCTATAGATAAACTATTTTAATAAAAATATTAATTTTAAGTATCGTCTTCTTCATATTCTTATTATTTATTATTAAATATTAATTTTAACCATCCCTATAAAAAAATAAAAATTAAAAAAATAAAAATATATATATATATATATATATATATATATATATTATTATATATTTTTTTTTTTACGTTTAAAAAATAAGATTTAATTTAAAAGATTGAACTTTTAGTTAAAAATTAACTTTCGTTATTTCCAATTATAGTAAATGAAAATAATGAAAAAACATCAGGAGCGTCTACAATATTAAATTTAAACTAATTTTTATTTTCTAAATATATTAAACTTAAATATTTTCCTGATGAAAAATTTCTATGAATTAAATAAAAAATATACATATATAATAAACTTATTATAATATTATATTATATTATATTATATTATATTTTATTATATATATATTACCTTAAATAAAACATATCTTTTATATTTATATATCCTCCTTTAAAAAAATTTCTATTTTCAATAATCCACATTCCGTTCGTATTTCCTTAAAACTTTTTAAAAAAAATCTCTTTTTTACCTAAACTTTCAGCTTTAACATAATAATATTAATCTGACTCGTTTTTTTTGAGAACTAAACAATTCATACTTTCAATATGATTTATCCATATTTTATCTCCATAAAGAATAAATTCTTTATTTTCAATAAATTAAGAAAATAAAAAAAATTTCCATCTAGATTTATATTAAAGTGATACATTTACTTCTTATTATTAATAAACTATATATATATTTATAATATAAGTAAATACTATATTAATTTTGTATTTATTTACAATTAATTTTCGATACTGTATTTATTTGAGAATTATTATAATCTTAATCAGATTTATTAAAAAAATGACTTAAAGATCTTGTTTTATATATACTAGAGCTTTATGAAGGACTTCCTTATTTTTAAATATCTTCCTATACATCTAAATATTTTTAATCAATTTACTTAATTTTAAATAATAAAATTGTAAAATATTAATTTTTACTTATTTATTCGGAAGTCTACGACTATTATAATTAATAAATAGTTTCTTAAAAACTTCCTGATCTAAAAAAGCATTAAATTCTTTGCTTTCTTTTTTAACTTAAGAACAGTGAATAAAAGGTATTCTTCCCAAATATTAATTAGAACAAACAATATAAACAATATCGTTTAATTATACAAATCTAATATATATTTACATAAATATATGCATATATATATACCCGTCATTTCTTATTTAATGTGAATAAGAAACTTTAAATTAAAAAAGAGAATTTTTCGAACAAAATTCTTATAATTCTAGTTTAAAATTTTCTTTTTCTTATTCTGACTCTAAATAATTACAAATCAAAAACTTATTTGATGCTTAATGAACCAATTAAATATTTTAATTATATTGGACTTCTGTTCCTTTATACTTTTCAAAAATATATACATTTTATTTATATTCTTATATCGCTTCTTTTTCCATTTATTAATATTTTTAAAGGCCATCTCTTTTAATGACTTTTTAAATTGAAAAATCCTTCATTTTTTCACAACTTTATTTATATTCATATAACTAATTCTAAATATTATAATTAAATTAAGGACAAACTTAAAAAAGACATCTTTCAAAAATTTAACCATTTCCTAAATAATCTAAATCCTATATATATGTATTTATTTATACAAACCCATCCGATATTAAAAAACAAGAAGAATTCTATGATAAACTAATTGATATAATATCACCAAATTTCAAACTTTAATTTTAATTTTGATAATAATTAAAATCATGGTCATTTGTATCAAATATTAATAATTTTGTATTTTCTGTTAATGGAAGATTTTTAGTTTAAATTTTATTTATTGATTAATTGCTTTTTTGTATATTTTTTAGTTTGCTTTCTGTCACTATACAATTTAATGAACTGTCCATTAACTTTTTTATATTTTTATTTTTTTATTAATATTAATTTAAAAAAATAATACTTTTTATATATAATTTTAATGTTATTTTTATATTTTTTTATAAATTTTAAAGTAAATATATAAGAATAATTTTTATTTTTATTTTTTTAAAGAATAAACAAAAAAAATTAAATATGAATAAAATAATATTTAAAAAGAAAATAAAAAAGAAAAAGAAAAACATATATCAATTATATTTTTTTAAAAAATTAATTATGTAATAATACAAAATAAATATAAAAAATATTTTATTTATTTTTAAATATTTGATAAAATAAATAAAAAAAATATTATATCATTCATTTTTATTAATAAATAATTTTTTTATTTTTATTTTAGTATTAATAAAATACAAAAAATAATTAAATTAAAATTATTTTAAAAATAAATTAGTTATTTCGTTGTGTATATAAAAAGATATTAAATTAATATTTTATAATAGCTATAAAAATATATGAAATAAATAAATATTTTTAAAATGATTTTAATATTTATTTTTTACTAAATAAAATTTTGCTATTTTATTAAGAATATTTTATTTTTTAATATTTTTTTTTATAATTTATAAATTAAATATTAAATAAAAATTAAACTATTAATATAAGAAAAATTTCATTGTAAAAAATAAAATTATGTAAACTATTTGTTAATATATATTAAATGTAATGTAAGAATAATATTTTATATGAATATTTAGTTTTAATTTTATATTATTTATTCAGAAAAAAATACTATTCAATAATAAAATATTTTTATTTTTTAAATTTATGAAATTATAAAGTTAAAAACTTCTATATTTTAAAAATTAACGAAAATATTAAAAGAATTATAATTAATAAAAATTATTATGAAAAGATTATAAATATTTTAATAAAAAAAAAGCAAAGATGAAAAAATGTAAAAATTCTAATATTTTTTTAATTTTAATTTTAATATAAATAATATATAAAAAAACAAATAAAAATAAAAAATTCATATATGATTAAAATTTCTAATAATTATAAAATTATATAATATATATATTTAATATATAAAAAGAAAAAATAATAAATAATTCAATTATTTTAAATAAAAAAGGTATTATAAATCAAGAACATTTTCTCTTATAATAAATAAATTATAAATAAAAAATTTATAAAGAAAAAAAATATAATTAAAAATATTTTTTAAATTTATATTATATATTATATAATATATAATATTTATATATATAAATATATTTATATATAAATAAATTAAAACTAAAAAATCTTTAGTAAATACTAAAATAAAAATATAAAAAAACAGAGTTAAAATAATAATTAAATAAAGAAAATTAATAATAATAAAAAAAAAATGGTACACGTTCCAAAACAAACAAAAATTAAAATTTACAAATAATTATTAAACGATGGAGTTTTTGTTTTAAAAAAAGATTTTTAAGGAAACCACGAAGAAACAAATGTGCCAAACCTCCACTGCTATATTTTATTAAGATCATTAAAAGATAGAGGTTTAATGGAGGAAGTATATAATTGGGGATTCACTTATCTTTATTTAAATCTTAAAGGATGTGAATATTTGAAGGAAAAACTCGGAATTTCTGCCGATAATGTCATTCCTAATACTTTTAAAGCATCAAAATAAAATTATATTTCTAGAGAAGAAGATGATGAAGAAGGAAAAGCAAGAAGAAGAATGGGAGGTGCAGGTCCTCGTGGAGGAAATAGAGGTGAAGGTGGAAGAAGAGGATATGGATAGGGTGGAAGAAGAAGAAATGATGAAGAATAAGTATAAGAATAATAAAATGAATAATAATAAGAATAATAACAAACTGCTTAATGATATTAATTATTTTAATTTTTTTTTTTATTTAATAAAAAAAAAAATTAAAAAAATTTGTTTATTCATTTCATATTATTTTATAAAAAATATTTCTATTTAAATATTAAATATATATTCATTATTTTACAAAAAAATGATTTTTTTAATTGTTTATTTTTTAAAATTAAACTCTATAATAATAAAAAAAACCTTTATAAAAATAGTATTGAATATTTTATTTTTTTTAAATATAATTAATTGTATATATGATAATATAAAAAAAAAATTAATCAAATTTAAAAAATAAAATAAATAGAAAATTAAAATATATATAAAATATATATATATATAGTATATATATATATTTACATATATTTATATTTATAAATATTTACATATATTTATATTTATTTTATATTAATATATTTTATTTATATATTATATTGTTAAATCATAAATATATAATTATTATATATTTCTATATATATTATTTTTCTTAAATTTATCTATAATTTTTTTTTTTCAATTAATATAATTTAAATTATTCATTTTATTTTTACTTTTATATAATTAATTTATAATTATATTTTTTCTGAAATATTTTAATTTATATTAATTATATTTCAAATATATTTTTAAAAATACAAAATTCTATTTATTTCTTATATTCATACTTTTTAATATAAAAAATCAATCAATGGGAACTCAAAATTCTAAAAAAAGATAAATAAAAATAAAAATTGATAAAGTAAGCCATTTTAAATTTGGTATAATGTGCTTAAACTTTACAAATCATAACGTAAAAATAATTATATTAACAAATAAATTCAAAAATATTTAAAAAAATAAATTAGGAAAAATGGCTATAAACCTTAAAAGAATAATGTATTTAATTAAAAAAAACATGTGGATGGTCTTATTTAATACTATAATCAATAAAAAATTTCGAAGGATATTCTTCTTAAATTTATATATAATAATTATTTTAAGTAAATTATGCGGATTCTAATAAATAAATAAAAAATTTAATCCTTAAAATAAGAAAATCTTTAAAAAATAAAAATAATTAAGAAAAATATAAAAAACTAATTAATAAATCATAAATATTAGAAGATGTAGATACGCATTCTATTTAAAATAATCCAAAAATAAATTATATTTTAAATTACGAAAAAACTAGTTTTAATGAAAATTCTATTCACGATATAAAAACAAGTTTTAGTTCTATAAATTCTTCTTTTTCTTATGCTTTTCCATAGTTTCAGGCTTAAAAAAGGGATATTTTAAAATAAAATCAAACAACAATTAAATAATTAGAAGACTATATTATCAAAAACGAAATTATAAGCCAATAACTTTACGATGAAAACCATATTTTAAGCTTTTTAATTAAATAATTTTATGAATATTTCATTAATAAGTACTAATTGATAGCCCGGAGAAGTCTAGAGTTAAAAATATAAAGTAATTATGAAGAAACACTTGAAGAAAATCAAATATTCGACCAAGCTTTTATCGAAATAAAGAAATTCATAAAAATAATTACAGAAGGATTAATGAATATGTACAGTCTTTAAAAAAAAAAACGAACATATTTCATTCAAAAGAAAATATGTAAAATTTCATGACTTCCTTTTTGTTTAAAAATGAAGAATTTTATAATACTATATATTAATTAATACACTTAAAGAATATTTTAAATGAAAAATAATTAAAAAAAAACATGAACCAATATAGGAATTTAAACCCAGAATTTTTCTATATAAGGGAAAAATTCTGTCTAAACTATAAAACTATAAACTTCATTCTAAAATAAAAAAATGATACCACTATTATTCCAATAGATTATCTAGAAAATAAACTCATTTCATAAAATAAATTAATATTAGATAGCAATAATCTGTAAAATACAGACTAATCTATTTTAAATAAATAAAGTTAAATAGAAATCATATAATCCTAAAAAAATAATAATGATTCATTTTTATATTAAAAAAATCTGTAAAATGATAATTATTTCAAGTGTATTAAATATATACGGAAAATACCCGAAATATAAAGTCCTATAGGAAAATTAAAAATGATTGTAAAAGCATCAGAATAAATTACTGTTTGTATAAATAATTTCTATAAAAAACATAGATAAGAGGTAGAATTTATATTAGATGCTGATGATGTTTTGAGTATTTTTACTTATATAAGTGTAAAGTCCTAAGTTTATGATTTATTTACACATATTTAGATTATTTAACACTTTTAAAGTCCTAGTTTGTAAAATTCCATTAGTGGATATTATTTAACTACTTTGGCTGCTAGTTTAATAAATATAATAGAATTTCAAGAATAATAGAAATTAGTTAAAAACTAAATTATTTGAGAATGAGTTAAATTAATATTTTTTATTGAAAAAAAATAAAAAAAATCATTATAATATACGAATAAGTTGTTGAAATTAAATATTATATTAAACAAAATATTTTGTAAAAAAAATAAAAAATACAATTGATAAAATGATGAATAAAAAAAAAAAATATATATATATATATTTATATAAATAATATATATATTTTTCTAAATATATTTTTTTCAAACTATTTTTTAATATTTGAATATAATCAATACTATTTATATTTTTTAAAAAATAAAATAAAAATAGTTTAAAATAAAAGAAAATAAAAAATAAATAATATTTATTCTTATTCTTCAAAATCATTATTAAAAATATAATCTATATATATTTATTATATATAATAATTAAAAAATATTAATATGTATATAAATTACACTCAAAGTCTTGTTACAGGTGCCCAACGGAAGTATTTTTTGTAATCAAGCAATCCACAACGGGTAGTAGAGTAAACAATCAAGCTTACTGCTGCTAAATAGTGATATCTTGCGAATTATTTATTTCTAATATTAAGTGACATATTTTTTTTTTTATTTTTATAAAATAAATTATATTTTATTTATTAAAATATAAATATTATTTTTTTATATATAGATATTATTATTTAATATATTTAATATCTTAAACAAATAAACAAAATCATATATTTCTATATTATAGTCTTATTATATATTTTATTAAATATTTTTAGTTTATTAATCTCAAAATTTCTTAACTTTATTAATTTCCTTATTCTAAATCTAATATTTGTATTCTGTTTAAAGGGATGTGAAAATAAGAGTTACTTAATTAATATTTAATAAATTTATATCAGTTTTGCTATTATTTACTATTAATAATAAAAGTTTCAAGTTATTAGTTTTAAAAGCATTATGTTAAGGTGAGTTAACTTATATATTTTAATCATTTGTATCTATATTATTATCTATTAATTATTTTATAAAAATAATATTTGGGATTCATACATCAATATATCAAAAGGAAAATTAAACTGACTTTAATTCCATTTTATTCTTAAGAAAAATAATAATTAAATTCAAAATAATAGTTATTAAAATTATTATTTTTTATTGATTATAAATTTTAATTTAATATAAAAGTAAGAATTTTATTATTATAACAAGAAAATTTTATTTTTGATTATATAAAATTAATTTTATATCTAATTAAAGATAACAAAGAATCATATGTATTATATTTTTTTTAAAGGAAAATTATAAAAAAAATATTAAGTATATTATAATAATAAAAATTAAATTTATTATATTAATATTAATATTTATAATTTTATAGAAAGAATTTGTATATATTTAATAAAAATATATACAAAATTTATTTTAGAATGAATATTTTATATAAAAATTAAATTTTTAATAATAAAAAGAATTTATTTATATATTTTTAAATATTAAATAAGATTTTTTTTTATTTAAAATATTTATTTAATATTTTTTGTCAGTTAATTAATTTTTTTAAATGTTTTTTTACATATAATTCTTAAAGAAATATTAAATGCATTGAGAAATTTAATTTTTTTTACGAATAATGTCTATTAAAAGATATATATATTTATTTTTTAATATAATAAGATATATATAAATAAAAACAAATATAATTATATCTATAGATATATATATATATATATATATAAATATTTTTATTTATATATCTATATATTTTTATTTATATATCTATTTTTATTTTCTTTAAAAAATAAATAATTATATATTATTAGATATAAAATTTTATAAAAAATTATTTATTTTTTATATTTATTTTAATTTATTAATTTAATTTTGTTTAGATTTTATATCTAAAAATATTTATTTATTATATTAAAATATAATTAATATATTTATAGATATTACAAAAATTGAAAAGATGAAAAGATAATCAGAAAATCTAACATTTTTATTCAAATAATAAATATATTAATATATTTATAGAAAATAATATATAAAATGCAAAATGTATTAATAAATATATGTATTAAAATTTTATATTTAAATATATATAGATACATATATATTTTTATATTTATATATATTTTTATATAATTATATATATATATTTATATACTTATATATATTTTAATACTATATAATAATAATAATTTAATCATTTAATTTTAATATTAAAAATATATATCTAATTTATATTAATTATAGATATATTTTTTCTTTATTATTATAAAGTATTTTTTAATATAATTATTTTAATGTATGTTTTAAATATTTATATCTGAATTTAAACCTTAATTATAGATATAAAAGATATAATTATAAATATAATGATTTTTTTTTAATGTATTTATAAATTTTTAAATTTATAATATATAAAACTATATAAATATATTTTAATTTTATTAATATTTAAAAAAATTAAACTTTCTATATTTTTAGAAAATTATTATTAATTTTTTTTTATAAATTTAAGCAGATAAAAAAAAATAGCATATTGATATATTTTAATTTAAATTTATCTGAAAAAAATATTAAATTAAAATAAATTATTTTTGTAACTTATATATATTATATGATAAAAAGTTAAAAAATGATATATTAATTATTATTTATATTTGGAAATATTGATAATTATTTAAAGATTTCTGTATTAAAAATGATTTTAAAAATATAATATAGATAAATTTAGAATTTATTTTATAAATATTCATTCATTATTATCCAATAAATAATAATATTTATACAACAATTATAAATATTATAT